ATCTAAAATTCTCTAGATGGACTTTAATCCGTCAACTGTTGCCACTCGCTGCCTGGCTTTTCTTAGACGCAGTAGATCTTTGCCTTTGTTTCGGTCAAGGAGCTTATGCTATGTCCTGCAGAATTTTCGAGAGGCCCTCGTGTTTCAGAATTCAGAGACGAGGAAAAGAAACTAATCGGAACAAGAATTCTGTTGACCACATGATCCTGTAAGCTCCAGTCTTCTGCAAAGTATGGAGATATCATTGAAAAGGATTCGCTGTCGTCGCAACCTCTCAGAAAAGAAGTTCCTTTTTTTTACAACAAACTTGTATTTATTTCAACAGCATCGAATCGTTACGTAGTCAATAAGTATTAAAGATGGAGGGTATATCTAGAAAGACCGGTAACTCCATTCGCAGCCAAGCGAGTACGACTGTACGAGACATCCTCACGTCCAGACGTGTTCAGGTAAAGTGCCGTGTCCAATTACCCCTCTTGCCTAAGCCCCTTTGTTGATTGTTTAATCAATGTTTAATTTGCCTAATCGCCTTCGCCCCTTTAGAATACAAGACTCTTCTGAGATTCTAATTTGGGATCGGGGAATCCGAACAGGGCCAACTTGGTAACTCGCGCAACAAATAAAACTTGGTAATTTTCTAACACTCATTTTTATTTTACAGAAACGGTATACGTCAACCGACTGTTTTAGACGCTCGTATCAACCGAGCTTTCTGGCCTTCCGATGGTGTCCGCCCGATGGCTGTGGCTCCCGGTTCTCCCTCGTCCGATGCCCCCCACCGGCCCTCCCTCCGCCACCGCGCGCCCTGGGACCGGCCCTCACTGCGACGCCGCATCTTTGGCAACAGCCGTCCACCGCCTCCATCGGCACGTGCTGTCCGCCGCCTCCCTCTCGACACCGGCTGTCCACCGCCGCCGCCCCCCAGGCCGCCCCTCCGCCGCGCCGAGGAGCACCGGCTGTTTCTCCCTCTGCTGCCACCCACCGGTGCAGGCGCGAGCGTCCCCGGCGCGGCCATCCTCGGCGCTTGCGCGGGCACGGCCCCCTCCTCCTTTTCTGTTATTTTTGAAAAGTTTTCAAAGCACGTTTAGACATCAATTAGCGTTTTTGGAATTCTTAGAATTTTTGGGATAATTTTCCATCTTTGTAGAGATAATCTATTTTTTTCAAGCTACCAAAGATATTTTCATGAACTCTAAATATTTTTTTTAATTATCATATCCCTCTATCTCTAGGATTATTTTCACAAATTTGTAGAAGCTTAGAGACATTATTGTCGTCTCATAGCCTTATCAAGTATTTACAATTTTTTCAAAGAAAAAAGATAAGAACATCATCAAAACCACTTTGAAAAGGCATACTTAAGTAAAGTAATTTGTATAATTTGAAGAGTTTACGGGTAAGATATTTGTATTTGAAGTTCGATGATAAAAAGTAGAGTATGACAATAATTCAGCAAGGTAAAACAGACTTTTTCTTCAAATATAGGATATGTAAAACATAGGATTAGAGTTGTATGTCACTTGTAACCCCGCATGAATTGGAAATGCAAGAAAGTTTCTATGGAGCATATGGATACAACACAGAAGAAATACAAGAATTAGAACAGAAAGATAGACACGGAAAAAATTTCAAGAGGTTAGAGCAACTTGAAAAACAGTTCCCTCTTCCTAAAAACTGTGATATAGTGGAATGAAGTTAAAAAAACTGCTCCAACAGATCCCCTTTCTCGTTCCCTTTTGAGCCCTTTCTCTATATTTTTCTCAATCGCTCAAAACTTTCCTCTATCCCTCAAAGAAAGGGGAAGTGGCATGATTTTCTCAATCCCATTTCTCCCTCATCCTGTCATTGACGCCCTGGGTCTCTGAGGATGGTAGAGGCATCGTCGTGGTGCTCGGGTCAGCTGTTGCCGCCGCGCCTTGAAACACACGGATTGGTCACGATACCACCACGCGGGGTGCGTGGCCTGTCCTCTCCACCGTCGTGCTTAGCAAACGAAGCGCCAAGACGCTGCCGCCTCCTTGCCGCGACGGAGGGAGAGGGAAAGGGAGAAGCGAAAGAGGAATGAGAGAGATGCCACAAACCTATGGGTTTCATATAAGAAAATGATATGGCTTTTCTCAACAAGTTTTTCTCAATCTGCTAGAGAATCTCTCTCTATAATCTAGAATTGAGTTTTGCCAACAAATTACTTCACAGCGCGTGTACACTACTGCGTGTTGGGAATTGGGCTTTAGAGGGGGCTACTTTTATGTTCAAGAGCAAGTAGAATAATTGGCTTATAGCCAAGCAAATCTTGATGTGGAGGAGGGAAGAGAGAGAGAGAGAGGATAATGGATCAGAAGCTTACAAATTGGTTTATGCACAAGAACCAAAAAAACTTGTGAGAGTGACAGGTGGAACGTATATTAACAGTGAAGAACTAACTATTATATGGGTGGATTGAGAGAAGACTATAAAAAATCTTATAGCCAGCAAGCCGGCTGCATTATTAGCCTTGCTCTTATTGGGCTTGCTCTAAGTTGGTTTGCCTATGCACAATTGGTGTATTGACTTTGGGATTCAATGAATGTTCAATGGGCCACTCAATGAGCTAGTATATTTTTGGGCACCCCAATCAGTAGATCGCAAGTCTGAATGTGTGATAACAATGGATAGTTTCTAAGCTCGTGAGATGGACTTTGACTTCAGGAATCCAGATGATGGTTTACATGGAAGTTTACATTTGCGCGCCTCCAGTTTTGGCTCTGTCGTGTTGTTTTCTTCAAAAATTCTTGCAGTTCCGCTTCTTCTCGATCTGTCTCATCTAAAATTCTCTAGATGGACTTTAATCCGTCAACTGTTGCCACTCGCTGCCTGGCTTTTCTTAGATGCAGTAGATCTTTGCCTTTGTTTCGGGCAAGGAGCTTATGCTATGTCCTGCAGAATTTTCAAGAGGCCCTCGTGTTTCAGAATTCAGAGACGAGGAAAAGAAACTAATCGGAACAAGAATTCTGTTGACAACATGATCCTGTAAGCTCCAGTCTTCTGCAGAGCATGGAGATATCATTGAAAAGGTTTCGCTGTCGTCGCAACCCCTCAGAAAAGAAGTTCCTTTTTTTTACTACAAGCTTGTATTTATTTCAACAGCATCGAATCGTTACGTAGTCAATAAGTATTAAAGATGGAGGGTATATCTAGAAAGACCGGTAACTCCATTCGCAGCCAAGCGAGTACGACTGTACGAGACATCCTCACGTCCAGACGTGTTCAGGTAAAGTGCCGTGCCCAATTACCCCTGTTGCCTAAGCCCCTTTGTTGATTGTTTAATCAATGTTTAATTTGTCTAATCGTCTTTGCCCCTTTAGAATACAAGACTCTTCTGAGATTCTAATTTGGGATCGGGGAATCCGAACAGGGCCAACTTGGTAACTCTCGCAACAAAAAAAACTTGGTAATTTTCTAACACTCATTTTTATTTTACGTAAACGTATATCGTCAACCGATTGTTTTAGACGCTTGTATCAACCGAGCTTTTCTGATCTTCCGATGGTGTCCGCCCGATGGCTGTGGCTCCCGGTTCTCCCTCGTCCGACGCCCCCCAACGGCCCTCCCTCCGCCACCATGGCATACAGGACCGCCTCCTCAACTGCTGGCCAAGCATCTTGGCAAAGCCGTCCACCGCCTCCCTCGGCATGTGCTGTCCGGCGCCACCCTCTCGGCACCGGCTGTCCACCGCCGCCGCCCCCCAAGCCGCCCCTCCGCCGCGCCGAGGAGCATCGGCTGTTGCTTCTCTCTGCCGCTTCCTCTCTCTTGCCACTCCACCGGGCAAGCCTTGGCGGCCGGCGTAGCTAACCTCGGCGGCTTATGCTATGGCACGCCCTGCCTCATGCGATTTGTGAAGATTTGTAAATTTTTCTTAAATTGGGCAATAATTTGTGAACAATTTGACATGTATTTTGTCTGGTATCTACGGGTCATAGAAATAATTTGTAATTTTTTTTTGAAAAAATTGGCATATATTTACCTGAGATCTGCAATTCATAGAAGGAGATGTAATATCCCCAAATTACATCACTTCGTCCAATAAATTATACTGAAGAAATCGGTGTAAATATAGTGACAAGACAGTGTAAATATAACTAGATGACAGGGTAAGTGCATGAGAAAAATTCAGTTGACATGAGGGGCCAAAACAACTGAATGTCACCTAGACATATTCTTATTTTAACGTGACTGGATTTACTATGAGAGTACTTACTAATTTCTAAATTTTCAGTGTTCTCATGTTGCCAAAAACACGCATTTAAAAATAAAAATAAAACAGCAGAGATGGATAGAAATTTTATGCATATATTATTATAATTGTAATGAAAGGCCATCTTTCTAGCGTCACTCTAGGCCCATAAATTAGCAGGACCGGGCCTGAATGTTATGTGGCGGATGCATTTCTGTGTTGACAATAAAGATTCCCAGTCCAGCCTTTTGTGGCTGGGAGTGTTCGTCGCCAGCAAAGATACAATCACCCTGTTCGCTGATATTAAAATTTGACTTATGCTGATGGTTATGTTAAAATATTGTTAGAGAAAAACATTATTTTATGACTGAAAAGTAATTCTGAATAAGCTCAAGCGAACACGACCACGGTGAATCTGCCATGGAGTCCAAGTTTGCCTGCCAAATCTTTTGCCATTCCTAACTTTCCATATGTACCACAAGGTTGCTAGGATTTTTTGCAGCAACAACAACAGTTGATTCTTGATGGTTTGTCTGGATCAGACGACGTGGTGTACTGGTGTCTCAAATCTCAATCCATCCGGTCCTTGCCCTGTCCTGTGCGGCTGCGTTGCTGCCCCACCTAGTCCTCACAATAAAACGCGAAGGCACTGGTGTCTCAAATCTCAATCCATTCCGAAAGGCTCATCCGCCTTCCGGCAGAGCAGAGTCCACAACCCACACGCAAGCACGCACGGCGAGCAGCGGCCGCCCACCTAGTACCGGGACACCAGAGCTCAAGCTCGGCTATGGACTCGCCACTGCTTAGACCACCCGCTCTGCTCGCGCTGCCCCTGCTCCTCCTAGCGCTCTACATCGCTCGCCGGCGCCGCGGCGGAGGCAAGAGTCGGAACTACCCGCCCGTGGCGGGCACCATGTTCCACCAGCTGCTCAACTTCGGTCGGCTGATGGAGTACCACACGGAGCTTGCCCACAGGTACCGCACCTTCCGCATGCTCACCCCGACCTGCAACTACGTGTACACCGTCGAGCCCGCCAACGTGGAGTACATCCTCAAGACCAACTTCGCCAACTACGGCAAGGGGTGATGATGCACGACGTGCTGGAGGACCTCCTCGGCGACGGCATCTTCAACGTGGACGGCGCCAAGTGGCAGCACCAGCGGAAGGTCGCGAGCCACGAGTTCTCCACGCGGGTGCTGCGCGACTACAGCAGTGGCGTGTTCCGCGACACGGCCGCGGAGCTCGCCGGGATCGTGGCCGCCGCGCCGCCGCCGCCGGGGACAGGCGGCTGGATGTCGCGGACCTGCTGATGCGGTCGACGCTGGACTCCATCTTCAAGGTCGGGTTCGGGGTCGGCCTGGGCGTGCTGTCCGGCTGCAACGACGAGGGCGCGGCGGCGTTCGCCAGGGCGTTCGACGACGCCAGCGAGCAGGTCTTGTACCGCTTCTTCGACCTGTCCTGGAAGCTCAAAAGGCTCCTCAATATCTCGTCGGAGGCGACCATGAAGGGGTCGATCCGCACCATTGACGGATTCGTGTACGGCGTCATCGACAGGAAGATCGAACAGATGGGCAGAGACCAACAAGAATTCGTGAGCTCTCTGCAGCAGCCTCGCCCATCTGGATGCTCGGCCGCTCGATTGGCGGCTCTGGCCCCTTCTTTTTTTACTGACACGCACGGTGGTGTTTATCTTTTGCAGGCCAAGAAAGAGGACATCTTGTCAAGGTTCCTGATGGAGCGGGAGAGCGATCCCGGCTGCTTCGACAACAAGTACCTGCGGGACATCATCCTCAACTTCGTGATCGCCGGCCGCGACACCACGGCGGGCACCCTGTCGTGGTTCCTCTACGTGCTCTGCCGGAACCAGCACATCCAGGATAGGGTCGCACGGGAGGTCCGTGCTGCCGCCACCACGGGCGACCGCGACGTCGGCGTGCAGGAGTTCGTCGCTTTCTTAACCGAGGACGCCATCAGCAGAATGCAGTATCTGCACGCCGTGCTGACAGAGACGCTCCGGCTGTACCCTGCTGTGCCCATCGTAAGTTGACCCGGACACCGGGCATCTTCCTAACACATTTGGCACCGTACGTCGTGTGCTGTTACTGTTATTATCTGCGTCACGGTCGCTGATTTTTTGGGGGGACCTGCTATCAAATCAAAAAATCTAAATGCAGGATGTGAAGTGTTGCTTTTCGGATGACACGTTACCGGACGGCTACGCTGTCAAGAAAGGTGACATGGTGAACTACCAGCCGTACCCAATGGGCAGGATGGAGTTCCTGTGGGGCGCGGACGCCGAGGAGTTCAGGCCGGAGAGGTGGCTCGACGACGACGGCGTGTTCGTCCCCGAGAGCCCCTTCAAGTTCACGGCTTTCCAGGTTGGTTGAGTTGTGACAATCAATCTCCTTGCCACTTGCAGTGTCCTTGGCCAAATGCAGCATGTGACGTGTTTGGCCTCTTGTGTTGTGGTGTGAACAGGCGGGGCCTCGCGTCTGCTTGGGAAAGGAGTTCGCGTACAGGCAGATGAAGATCTTCGCGGCGGTGCTGCTCTACCTCTTCAGATTTGAGATGTGGGAAGCCAATGCTACCCTGGGTTACCGGCCCATGCTCACGCTCAAAATGGATGGCCCGCTGTATGTTCGTGCATCGCTCCGGCAATGAGGTGGGCGGCGGCCCCGAAGTCAAAAGGCATGCCAAGTCAAAAGATGAGACGTGCATGTGTATGCCCCATCGTCCTAGGAGTACTTTGAATATAGGATTGCGCTATTTCCATCTGCTACCATCTTGGATAACGTCGAGGTTCAGAACGTGCATATATACTATCAGAAATGCTATAGGGCAACCAAGTGTTTTGGGGAAATTTCACACGTGATTTCTAGGGCATCCGATGAGTGCGGGGACAGCGGTGGAGGCCGTCCGATTTGCGCCCACGACACCGTCTTCTCCTCGCCCGCACCCGCTGTCTTCTTCCCCAGCCCCGTCGTGGCCGCTAGGGTTCTACCGAGCTCTCCTCCTCTTTCTTCTCCAACTCCAACGAGTATAAATAGGGCCAGCCGGAAGGAAGTAGGTAGGCCAAAGCGGTAGGGAGGGATGGTGGGTAGGCGGTTTAGAGGAGCCGACGGTGGTAGCGGGCGGTTGAGCCAAGTCGAGACGTGGGAGTTTCGCCGGAGTTGGAGAAGATGGCTGCGGTCGGAGTAGGAGAAGAAGGCGGCTGGCGCGGGAGGAGGGGGAGAGGGAGGCCGCCGTAGGCGCGGTAGGGTCTCACCGGAGCTCCGCGACGGCAACGGCGGGAAGCATGAGGAGGAAGAGAAACAGTGAAAAAAATCAGGTGTGGGTGAGGGGTGTGACACGAATATGAAGTAGACAAACTCTATACTATTGGGTTCTTTTTAGAGACGTAGGAACAAGTTGGTCAAAGCAAAAATGGTTGACGGATAAATTCTTGTACAGCCCTAAGTGCTTGCTTACAATCTAAATAAATACTCTGATTCAGTTATGACTTTTTCAGCTTGTTCTTTTAGCCGAATAAGTTGTTTTTTCTCACAACAAATCACCAAATAAAGCAGTGTTTTGGCTGATTTTTCAACAAAGTTTAACAGGGCCTTTAGACCTTAGGGTTTAGTAAGCACACGCAACCAAAAAGCCACACTACATCCTCTACAAACCAAGAAATTGTTTCTCATGTTATGTTACTCCCTTATTAGGGTGGGAGGAGGCATTGTTGAAGGCCAGAGAGGTGGGCTTAAATAAAGACGTGTGGCGGAAAACCATAGGTGTACAGTGTACTGTAGACCCTCCATAGGTGTGGGTAGCAACTTGATCGCACTTACAACCACAGCCCACAGGCTAAATAAAGACAATGCTCCACTAAATAAAATCTCTAACCACAGGCAACTCAGGTGGAGGGTCTGCATCGGCGGATCTGAAAAATAAGCTAAAATATCGTAGAAATTTGATTGTTATGAGAGAAAAATATTGTTCTGTCTGAAAACACTATACACGTGAACAGTGATTTCGTGAGTGGGCTGGCCAGCCAGCCAGCCACCAGCCAACCGAACAAGGCCGGAAAGTGTTTTTGTTCGCACTCTCTAGCTTATTATATAACCACACCTCTCTGGCTCCTCTCTAGCTTATTATTATGTGATCATTTTAGTTTAGTTGCTCTCAGCTTCTCAGGTGGCGCCGCAATGGTGAAGATGCACACGAAATTTATCGAGGACAGGAACAACCGGCGGAAGAGCTTGGCAGGGCGCATCAACGGGATTAACAAGAATGCCTACGAGCTCGGCCTAATCTGCCATGCGAAGGTCAGCCTCATCGTCTTCTCCGAGAGCGACGAGCTCGTCTGTAACTACACCACCCCGCCACCCAGGTCCGAATGACTAGAACCTTTCTTTGTACTTTCTTGAGCGATTTCACCGCATGTCATTGGTTTCAACTTTGGTTGAGTACTTTTCACCGCACTAGTTTTTTCTGGATTAATTGTCTGTTATTGGAAAATCTTTGTTTACTATCTTATTCTTGGCACGGGAAGAACTGTTGGAGATTACTAGGTCCAATTTGGTATGTTAGCAGATTTGTGATTTTCTAAACTTGTTTTCTTTGGAAATTTGTCGAGTGCCAGGGGCACTCGGCTAAGCCCCAAAAACACTCGGCAAAGGGTTTGCCGAGTGTCAGACTCGGCAAACCCTTTAACGGCAAACGCTAGTTTGCCGAGTGTTTTTTGTCGGACATTCGGCAAAGACGTTGCCGAGTGCCCAAAAAACACTCGGCAAACTTTTTTCAAAAAAAATAAAAAAGCACGCCGACACCACGCCCGCACCACCAGCATCGCCGCCACCGCCACCATCCACGCCCGCCGCCACCATCCACGCCTGTCGCCGCCGCCCGCACCACGCCGCATTTGCCTCCGCCCACCACGCCCCCCCCGCCGCCCTTGCTGCTCTCGGCGAGGCTACAGCTACCCCCGGCCCATGCTGCCATCCATCCCTCCGCCGCTGGGGTGCTGTGTTGCCACCCCCTCCCGGATCTCACCGTTGGGGGGGATGGAGGAGGGCGGCACCGCCACCGGATCTCGCCCGGTGGGGAGGCGGCGCCGGGAAGGGAGGGGAGGGTCGTGGCCGGGAAGAAGGTAGGGCGGGATCCTGAGGGGAAGAAGGAGGGGCGGATCCGGCGGGGAAGAAGGAGGAGGGAGGGGAGGGGCCGGATCCGGTGGGGAAGAAGAAGGGAGGGAGGGAGGGCGAGATCCGGCGGGGAAGAAGGGAGGGGCCAGATTCAAGGGGGAAGAAGGAGGAGGGAGGGAAGGGGCGGATCCGTGAGGGAAGAAGAAGGAGAGGCGGGATCCGTCGGGGAAGAAGGGAGGTGCTGGATCCGTGGGAAGAAGGAAGGAGGGGGAGGGAGGGGCCGGATCCGATGGGGGAAGAAGAAGGGAGGGAGGGAAGGGCCGGATCCAGCCGGGTAAGAAAAGGGGAGGGATGGGAGGGGGGGGCCATGGAGAAGAAGGGAGGGAGGGAGGGGCCGGCCACCGACGGGAAGAAGAAGGGAAGGAGGGGAGGGGCCGGTCGCGATGGGAGGAGGGAGGGAGGGAGGCAAGGCGGAGAAGGGATCTCACCGGGCGGCGGAGGGGGGCGGAAAGAGAGGAGGGAAGGAGGGTGTGGAGGAGGGGGCGGGTGTGCAATGGGGAGGGAGGGGGGGGCGGGAGGAGGGGGGGTGAGGAGGGAGGGAGGTGTGGGTGGGTGATTTTAGGGCGGGTGGGGTTTTTACATTTTTTGCTTTGCCGAGTGTTATTTTTGGACACTCTGCAAACCTTCCTTTTTGCCGAGTGTTTTTGTGACACTCGTAAATCTCTATTTATCGAAAGTGTTTTTTTGTTTGACACTCGGCAAACCCCCATCTTTGCCGAGTGTTTTTTTTTGCCGAGTGATTTTAGGATAGCACTCGGCAAAGAATTTGTTTGCCGAGTGCCTGAGGGAATGCACTCGGCAAACATAAAAACACTCGGCAAATTTGAGGTTTTCGGTAGTGTCACTGATTTCTCGCAAGGCTTTAAATGGCTAGGTTAGGTAAATAGAGATGTTGTTGTTGGATTGGAGTTCGTTAAGTAAGTTTTGGACACATGCGTGATCATGTTTTTGGACACCACAAACTTCCTTTTGTAGCCTTCATTCACTCTCAAATGTTGCAGTTGTAGAACCTAGAACACACCGATCAGTTCTTCCAAATTTACTTATGAATAATATTATGATATATTGGCAAAAGTAGGATCCCGAGAATCTTGTAATTTGTAAATCCCTAACACTAACACACTCCACTCTTGCTATTTGCGAAGCATGGTCGATCCGATTCAATTTGCACGAGGCGGCCACCAACAAGCAACTCGCTGCCATGAGGCGGCATACTACATCGATCTTAAGGTACGATCGGACTCAATGCGCTTTTAGTATCTTCAGCTTGTTTACGTGCCATCTCTATTCATGATTAGTTTTTTTCCCATTGCAGCAGCAAATGGTCGGCGACGTGAGTACCAGCAGATTGAGGCTAGGTTTAAGACGTACACGGGAGAGGACCTGTCGTCTCTGAATTCAGGCCTGTTTGGTTGCCTTGCTGCGTGCGTCCCTAGCTCCCGAGATGCAGTTTAAGGGTGTTCGGTTCCCTGGAGTCCTCCACAGGCCTAGCCATTGGCATGCAGGCAAGGGTCTGGAGCCAGGCTCCCTAAACACGGATTTCAATTCCGCCAGCTTTGGCTGCTCTCATGGGAGCGCTGGGTGTTCAGCTGGGAAGGCTAGGGTTACCACCCCTTTTGGCACGAGATAAATCCCCACCGCTTCCCCCTTCGGCCCTCACCCTAGCTCGTCGACTTTGTTCTCTACTTTTGGACTCTCCCATCTTCCTCTTCCAGTCCTACGGCGCAGGTGAGCCGTCAGCCATCCCCATCCGACCTCTCCTTCCCTCCTCTTTTCTCCATCACCATCCTCCATGTCCTTCCCTCATCTTCTCCTCTCCTCTACGTATGCGGTGACATTTTTTCATGCATTAGGGTTGGAGGGGGGAATCGCTAGTGACCCGAGCCAATCCAACAAGGTATGGTCGATTCCATCCTCGATCTGTTGTTACCCCACTCAATCTTGTCGATCTACATGTTTGATTGAAGTTTGTTTGCTCTATAGGCTCTGATCTGTTTGGTTCACCCGTTCTTGAGAGAGCAGGCAAGTAATCCATGTTTAGATTTTCTTTAGTTCATGTTCCATTTGTTGAACTGTGATATTGAGAGGTACTAATGCCCATTTAATTGTTGTGTAGTTCTTGTTCTCTCTAGATCTGTAGCCGCTTCGCCTGTCTTTGTTTTGCTCGTCCTTCCTGCTCAAGCACTCACAGTATGAAAGGCACCCCTTCTCCTCTTCCAACCTTACTCTTTGTTTTGGTACCTCTGGATCTGTAGTCGGTATGTGATTGAATATGGTTGTTCCCTCATACTTGCTGATGCACTAGAGAGGGATGACGGGCTGAGGGTTCCACCAACAATTTGGTAGCCATTCTGTCTTAACCCTACAACGTAAACTAATACATGCCTACTTAACCTATTGTTTAGGGAAATTCTAGTAGTCGACATGGGTTATGCATGTCGGCCTAGATTCCTTCCCCCTTACTGTGGAACTAGATAC